AGAGAGAGAGAGAGAGAGAGAGAGAGAGAGAGAGAGAGAGAGAGAGAGAAAAGACAGACTACCCATGGAAACAACATAAATAAAGGACTCTATGAAATTAAGCAAAAATAATAGTTATGTTTATGTTCTTTGGTTTATAAATTATGGAAAAAATATTTGTTATAAACAGGTAGATTATTAAATACTATGCTTTATTTTAAAATAATGGATTATAAGTAGTTACTAGCTATTTACAAAATATAAAATAAGAAAGTATTTTATCACCATCTCATCATTTACTATTTTCAATTTACCTCATTCCAACTTGTTATACTAGCTGTATTTTTGTTTAAAGCAAAACAACCTGCTCTTGTTGGATTTAAGCAAAAAGCTAACATGATGAAAATACACTGGGTTATGTCATAAAGTTCAAGGACAAAACAAATGAGAGGAAGTAGATCGCTTCCAGGAAACTTAGCAATGGAACTTTATAGGACTTCTCCCCACAGAATTATTCTGACTTTAACTCCAGTGACCTCCAACCTGAATCTTTCCTCAAACCACCCTATCTCAGTCACTTTTCTCATTGCTGAGACAAAATACCCAACACTCAAAGTCAAAGGGGAAAAGCTTTATTTAGTTCACAATTTGTAGAGGTTTCAGCCCATAATCAGCTGGCTCCCAGGCAGGGTAGCACATGGAAAAGGGGCAACAGTTCATAGTGGCAGAAGATAGCAAAAGTGACAAAGGGGAGGGGGACACAAGCCTCCTTGGGTTCCTTATACTGTATGTCAGCTACCTACCCTAGGGCAGTTGTAGCACTCACTCCCTTAATCCCAGTATTGGACCATTAATTACAAACTCTAGATTCAGCCACCTCTGGAAAGTCTGTCCTCCATGGCCGCATGAGGCTTTGGAGGGAGATCTAGACACAATCAATAACACACCCCAATTGTAATTCCTAGGAAAGATCACGTATTGGATACAATTTGAGTCAAAAGACACAATCAACTATGATAAAAACATGATTCAAGAGCGATATATTATGAGTGGCCACCAGAGGCCCAGCCTTAGAGAGGAAAGACCAATTTCTGAGGAAACATGGTGCTTCAGGAAGGCTTCTCAGGAGATGCCCATCCACTTCATATGCTTTCTTCCTACTGTCATGTATGCCTCTTTCTTCCTTGTACCACCACCTCCTGTTATCAATATCTAAAACTTATACCATGGGTGAGTTTAAAATAACCTCCAAGAGATACATAATTTATATAAAATTAAAGCAATGAAAGAAATAATGGTTTGTTCTTCTATAAATTAAAACACAAACAACTCTTTGAAGGCACAGTATAGAGGCATCCAAGAGCTGAGCTATATCAAAAAGGGTCTATGATAATATTTTTACCTTGACCAACCACAGGACAGTCTTTCTGGATTCCTAAGCCTATGTAGTTATTTATTAAAATAAAAGCCAGACATTTGTCAAAATCAGATATCCTGGAAGATAATTAAAACATGTAGTATATATATTCTGTTACGCTCTTCCCAGTCTGTGAAAAGAGTTCCTCCTGGGAAGTTTCAATAACTTTTTCTTTATCCTCCTGACTGTGGTATATTATTATCTCCAAAGTTTAATTATCTTCGGCTTCCCAGATATTGAACTAACAGGTTTTACAGCACAGGTCTCTTTTGTTACCACTGGTAGCCCTATCCATAATCAAGACGAATTTTCCAAGGCACTTTATTCTTTTCTGCACTGTTCTCTTACCCTTACTCAAAAACCTCAAGTATATAATTGTGACATCAAGATCGAGACTGCCAAGTCCATACTGAAAACTGCTTTAGTTTCTTGTTACTATAAAACTCTTATTTTCATGTTTCGCTCTTAAAGGACAATAGCTCTCAAAGCAAAGCCATCATTATGCCACAAATGAGATTAACTTCCTACATTCGTTTTAAAGTTACCACTGTCAATTTTTCCCATTCTTCCTACTACTCATAAGCCCTCAAAATCATCGAACGACCTCTAAATCGAATTGCACCACTCTATATACTGACCTAAATCTTGGTACTTGAATTTCAACAAATGCTTTACGGATACAGATCTTCCTTTTTGTTTTTATCTGAGCAATTACAACAAATCTAATAGTGTTATCATTTGGGATACATTATATCCCAGGTAGAAAACATACATATTAAAAAAATTTTCATACGTCTCTACCATAATTCTTCTGAATTATGTGAGGTACATAACAGTGTAGTCTTCTATCTTCCTACTCTTCAGATTAACGGTCATCCCTAAAGCACTGCTAATTCTGGAAAACAACCCATAACATAATAGCGCCAGCCCGAACTGGCGGTGGACTACAATCCCATGATGCAAAGCAGACGCGCAAACATTAGCTACGGTTCCTCCTAGGAACCGAAGCCTTTAAATCACCCGCTGCGAGAAGTTGCCCAGCTCCTCAGAAGTTCCCTTCGAAAAATGAAGCTAGTGCAAAGAACGTCAACTACTTGTCGCAGGACTAGATTTCATTTCGCTACGAGAGTCAGAAGCAGACATTCTAGGGGCCATTTCCGGGGGCGGGTCTCATACGTCACTTCCGGGGCGTGTCCCAGGCCAGCCCCGCCCTCCTCCCCTGGGCCGGGCTGAGTCCGAGAAACGTGCTGAGCGGGTGTTTTGGGCACGGAAGGTCACGTGAAGTATCCGGTTCTGTCAGGGAGGCGAGTGGCTGCGCACCGGAGCGGCGGGTTCCACAGTCCCCGGGAAGCGTGCTCGCGCTGGATCCCCGGCGCGTCCAGGTGAGGACCGGGCGGGGACACCTGCACCCGCGGCGGGCCCGAGCCGAGCTCCGGATCGGCGCGTGCGCCTCCCCGCGGGGCGCTGGGGGCGGCGGGGTCTCCGGGTCGGGGCGCTCCGGGCGCTGCGGTCTTGCTGCCCGCGGGGTGGACGCCCCGACGGTGTCCGCCCCGCGCCTCGCCGCCTTCGCTGCGCCCAGCCTCGCCCACCTGGTTGCTCAGAGTCGAGCTCCTCACCCGGCCGGGGCGCCGTTCCCGGAGCCTGCCCTGCCGAGGCGGCAGCGCCCTCTCCTCGGGAGCGCAGCGCGTGGTCCCCGCGCCGGGGTGGCGCCCGGGGCCCAGGTAGTGGGGCGGCTGGCCGAGGGTAGGGCCCTCCCCGGCCCTGGCCCTGGCCCTGGGAAGCTGGCCACCTCACTTGGGCGTGCCGCTTCTGGGGAGGCCGTCGGACGGGACGGAGGAGCGATGGATCAGCAACAGCTCAAGTTTCTCCAATCTTTGATTATGGAAAAGGTTGCCGAGAGCCGCGTGCTGCGCTTAAAATACTGTTTGCAAACTCCTGGGGCTCCTTCGTGCCCTTGTCACCAGTGGAACCGCGTGGATGGAGCTGGGCAGGCAGATCCTTGGCTGCTCTGTACAGCCCTGTCATTTCGTTGGTTTAGATATTACAATTTTTGTAAGCTTGTTTTTTAACAAATCAATGATAATCCGTTATTTCTGTTATTATGAATTTAATCTGATGCAAAATATGCTTCTTTTGATAACAGATTATTGAGGAGTTTATAAAGGTTTGCTAAGTTCTCTCAGTTAACTACAAAACCAATATTCACCGGAAAACTGAAGTATACTTTTAAATCATTTGATCATGTTTAATGTGTTTAATATTCAGTTGGATCTTACTTGATCAAATTTGTCAAATACATTTGATTCTGTTTCATAAAATGTTACTTTTAGAGCAGTTGTCACTATATTTGATTCACTGTTATTTCACCTAAGTGTTTAGAGTTTCACTAATCAAAATATAATGTGATCTTCCTCCTTTTTCTTTTCTCCTTCCTACTGCATATAGTACTATCAGGACATTCTAGACGCAAGCTTCAAGACAGTCTTTTCTATTCTTTCATCCTGCTTTTTTTTTCTTTTTTGGTGGTGCTGGGAATCAAATCAAGTTAAAAATGAAAATTAATAATCTTTCACCAAAAAAGTCGGATAAAAAAGGATAACATGACACAAGGGTCGAGAAAAAGGCTGTGAAGTAGTTTTCCTCTTTACCTTGTGTCCTTAGACTACTGTGATGTTTAAAAAGAGCTTTGAAGTCTTTTTTCAAATAAAGTAATAACCACAAAATGTAAAAAGAACACTGTTTCTTTTGGATTGTGCTTCAGATTAAAACTAATCTTTTAACATGTCTCTCTCACTTTTAGATAGTGAACTCCTGAGAAGAAAATGGATTGCCTAGTAGTTGTTTGCTAAGCATTTGGACTCAGCAGTGTACAGATTTCTTGCAGAGGCAGACAATGGCAACTCCTTATGTCCCAGTTCCTATGCCCATAGGAAACTCCGCTTCCAGTTTTACAGCCAACAGAAATCAAAGAAGTTCTTCTTTTGGCAGTGTCTCTACAAGCTCAAACTCTTCCAGAGGCCAGCCAGAAGATTCAAATATGGGTAACTGTAAACAGGCAAGCGTTCCTGAACAGCTGGACAGAACTTCATCTGTCTGCAGCAGTCCTCTCATTAGGACTAAGTTCACAGGAACAGATTCAGCCATTGAGTATTCTGCAAGAGCAAGAGAAACTGAAGAACAGAATCCTGAACCAGTGAGTTGGGAGGACAGACCATCCACACCTACTATTCTGGGGTATGAGGTGATGGAAGAAAGAGCCAAGTTTACTGTAAGTAAATTTAACTTTGCTGTTAAGCAATAGAAAGTGGAAGCCATAGAAAGTGAAAGCTTGGCTGGCCTGTGTATTTAAGCTAGTGTTAAGTCATGTAAGCCTGTACTTAAAATTCCTTAATATAAATTTTGTGATTTTTATACCACTAAATTCTCTCATGCTGCAGTAGACTTTTGTTTTTCCCTTAGTGGATTTGCACAGAGCAGACACACCAATATGGCTAGTATATATATTAAGGAGCAACATTACTAGCATTTTAAAAGTCCTCGTACTCTGCCCCTCAGTGCCCACTTGCCCAATGCATTTCTGGTACTTTTCTGCTGTATGTAAGTGAAAGTGTTGAGCACATACGCATATGGGGCTGACCTCATTTCTTTGGCTTTGTGTTTATATGAGTCATCCTTGATCTTGCATTAAATATAGGGAGCTCATTTTTTTATTACTGATTATTTATACTGATTATGTCATGAACACAATTTCTTTCTTGAGGTTCTTACTATTACTGCTGCTGTGACCATTTTAGTACATAGCACTTGATAAACATGTGTACACATTCCTATGTATTATCTACATAGCACTTGATAAACACATGTGTACACATTCCTATGTATTATCTACCTAGGAGTAAAATTGCTAATTCCTGGGCCCAGCTCTAGAACAGTCTGATGAGTGGTGTTCTAGAGTAGTTGCACCAGCGTAAGCTGCCCAAGTAGTACCTGATTTCCAGCGGCCCCAGACTGTCCAAACACAGTGTTTTTCCATCCTTTTCATTTTCCTATTCTAGAAACTCACATTGTGGTTTTGAATTTTTTTAAGGACAAACTATTTTTTTACTGTTGTTTTGAAACTTTTTAGCCATTTAGATATTGTCTTGTGAAATGCCTGCTCAAGATTTTTGTTCTTTTTTCTTTTGGGAAGCTTCCGGTTTTTCCTGTAGTTCTTTGTGTGCTGAACATAAGTTTTGTTTTGTTTTGTTTTTAATTATGTATTGTAATTGTCCTCTTGATTTTTTTTGCCTTTTCACTTCCTTAATACATTTGATAAAACCTTTTTTAAACAATAAATCTTTAATTTTTATAGTTTTTTTATTTTCTAAAGAGAATAAATAGTTTTAAAAAATACAGATTTGTTTAGTAGAACTTCTTAATTTTGATATAGTCCAGTTAATATTTTCTTCTATGGCTAGCATGTTTTGAAATCCTTGCCTATTCCAAGGTTACAAGATACTATCCCCTACTTTATTAGAAAAGATTTTTTTTGGTGGGGCCTTCCACATTGAACTCTGCGAGCTGTCAGGAATTGATATTTTCGTCTGTGGCATAAGAGTCATGGCTTTCATTTTTTCTGTGTATGATCAGTTAGTCAAGCTTATATTAAAAAGACCACCTTATTCTACATTTTGCAGTATAGCTTCTGTCATAATTATGTGACTATAAATATGTGAGGCCTCTGTGTTCCGCTTTTCTATCCATTGCCAACTCCAGAGACTTAAATTACTGAACTTTAGGGCTTGATACCCAGTAGCTTAAATACTAGATTTACTGTTCTTCAGGATTGCTGTGGCTCTTCTTGGCCTATTGGGTTCTGTTAAATCTATAACTTCTGGTGGGAAAAGCTGACATCTTTACTATATTGATTCATTAAATCTATGAATTGACTTAACTTTTTAATTTCTTCTAATTTTTTTGTCATTTTCAATGCAGAGATCTTTCCTCTTGCTTAGATTTATTTCTGAATGTAGATGAAGTTGGATGCTCTTATAAGGAACATTCCTTTTTGGTTTTCTGTTTATTATTTTATATATTTTGACCTTGTATGTTTGTATGTGTCAACCTTGCTAAAGTTATGAGGTAAAGAAGTTTATATTTCTGATTTTTTGCCATGAAGTTTTTATATTTGCTTCACAGTTTCAGGTTATAAATTTATATCAAGATGCTAGGGCCTTGAAGAAAAAAGGTCAGTGTCATTTGTGATGGTGACAGTCTTTAGAAATAAGCTGGCAAGAGCTGGTGAGATAGCTCAGCAGACTACATGCCTGCTTTGGCAAGTGCGGGGACCAGGGTTCGATCCCCAGTCTCGCATGTTGCACCAGCCCTGACCCTGGGGCACATTGAGCTGGCGAACAAGTCCAGGCATGATGGTGCATGCCTGTAATCCCAGTGCAGGGGAGGTTGAAAACAGGAGGATCCCTACAAGTCCGATCTGTGTAGTGAGACCCTGTACCAAATACATAAATAAAAAAAGAAAAAAAAATAAGTTAGTAAAGAATGGTAAATCTGCATGAACCTGTCTTTTTGCAGAGCAATTCTAGGAATATAAAACCAAGGCCACATTTTCTGACATTGACCTTCCTTCCATATGAAAGTACCAGCATTCACTGAGGAGATGCTATGTTAGAAATGTTTATGTCCCTCCAAAATTCATATGCCAAAACCTAATCCATGATGGTGTTATTAAGAGATAGCAACTTTGAGACGTGTTTAGGTCATGAGATGGAACTTTTATGAATATGATGAGTAACTTTATAAGAGGCCCCAGAAAGCTGCCTCTATGTCCAGCCCAGGACACAGCTAGAAGGCATCTTCTGTGAACAAGATCATGAGCTCACCAGACACCAAGTGTCTTGCTGTTGGGCTTCTTAGCCTCTCACAGTGTGAGAAATAAATTTGTTTATAAGTGACCCAGTTTCTGACATTTTGTTATGTGGCGTGTTGGCCTGGATTTTGCTCTGCATAAGATGGGAATCGTTGAAAAGGTATTTTTAAAGAAAAGTCATGTGATCTCACTTAGGTTTTATGGGCTTGTTCTGGCTGCTGAATTGAAACCAGATTATGAGGGGAAAGAATAGAAGCAAGAAGCAGTTAATTTGCAATAAAAAAAAAAAAAAAAGAACTTGCAATGATGCGAGACATGATGGTAGTGTAAACTAGCATGTAGAGGAGATCTGGAGACATTTGGAGATTGGATCTATCTTGAAAAAAGGCCGACATTATTTTCAAATAATGTAGAAGTAAAGTGTGGAGGCCTGGGAGATAGCTGGGCGGCACAAGCTCCTGCCTGGCAAGCGCAGGGTCCTGAGTTCCATCTCCAGTACCACAAAAAAATAAAATAAGTAAAGTGGAGTGTGTGAGAAAAAAGTGAAGGTTGACCTCAAAGGTCTTGACCTAAACAATATGTAGACTAAGGATGTCATTTAACTAGATCTGAGAGAGGTTCTGAGATTATTAGATTATTAGGGTTTGTTTTCTGACATGTTAAGATTTGAGATGTGTATTAGACTTCCAAATAGAGATGTCGGGTATGTGTGAGTATGTACAGACACATTATACATATATACATAACATGTACACATCTATGTTGTGTATACGCATAAGTTAGTTTAGAGAAGTAGTCAGAGCTAGACGTTCAAGACTGGGAGCCTTAGATTTGCAAAATATTTTTTTTCCCTAAATAACTTCCTTTGAATTGATCTCTTAATCTTAAGGTTGATCTTTTAACCGAAGAAGGTATATTAGGACTGTCAAAATCTGATAAGGTATAGAATGTCAGGTGTCTGAAATGAGTGTTTAAAAAGGGACGGACAGGTGGTGGTTAGAATTGGAAAGAAGGCCTGAGGACTTCTTCAATTGCTATCTTCCCTGCTACTTACGTGGGTGTGTTTGCTTTGTAGCAAAGTAGTATATGTGAAATTTCAAACAGAGTAGTAACCATAACTGCTATTAGAACATAAAGGAGGAAATGAGTAGTACTGTACACACAAAATTATCACGGAAAGTACTAAATAAATAGAAAGGTTGAAAGAAAGCTTTCTATGAAACATAACCTGCAAGGGTCTATAATTTATCCTTTTTAAAGAAATAGATTTTAGGGGCCACATAACTTGGTTTGAGACAAAGAGTATTTTCTGAAACAGAAAGTAAAGTCAGGAGCTGGTAGGATAGCTCAGCGGTAAAGCACCTGCTTAGGCAAGTGCAAGGGACCGGACCGTGGTTTGCTCACCAGCACCACATGCCACACCAGCCCCGCTGCCAGGGTGGGCTGAGCCAGCCACAAAAAAAAAAAAAAAAAGAAGAAGAAGAAAGTAAAGTCAGTATGGGTTATTTGTAGATAAAGCTAATTATCACGTGAAGTTGATTTTATCAGTCATTTGTACTCAGAAATTTTGAATCAGTTCATTTCTTTGTTTAATGATTCATTCCTGAAAACTAGTTTTCTTCTATATCCACATTGTGATTTTCTTAGGTCAGAACTTTTGTAGTCTTTAAAGGCATTCCCAGTAATTTTGTCCCACGCCCTTACATGTTACAAAGATAAATTCAAAGCTAAAGAATTCATTTTTAACCCTGTTGATTCTCCCATATAAAAGCTGAAAAGAAGTCTGAAGAGCAGAAAATGTAAATGGGAAGGACTCTTTATAGTCCATAAATGACTTGTCCCTCAATTAGCTCTCCATCACAAGTATATGAACCACATTTATAATTGTGTATTTTTCTAGTGAGCACAGTAAGAAGACTAAGAAGCCAGTGAAGTTATTTTAATAAAATTGCATCAATCTAATATGTCCAAGGTAGCATCATCTCAAGAAATCATCATTATGAAGCTGTTTTAATGAAACCATTTGCATTTCTCTTCACACTGTCTTTGAAATCCAGTGTGTCTTTTGCACTCCGTGTGTTTGTCAGTGTAGACTGGTCATGTTTCCAGTGTCCAGTAGTCGCCTGTGTCTAAAGTGCCGTTCTAGGGTGACAAGGGTATATTAAAGAGTTTCACTCATTCAAGAGATGTAGAGTATCTTATATGTTAGCTTAACAGAATCCTCTAGTAGAAACTACTAGATGTTTCTTTGAGATTCTGTCATAAATAATACATCATAATAAATTCTGAAATTATACTTTCAAAAATAGGATCTGTTTGATCCCTGGTCCCACATGCTGTGCTGGCCCAACCCCTGGGGCATGCTGAGCCAGCGACTGAGTCTGGGTGTGGTGGCACATGCCTGTAATCTGAGCACTGGGGAGGTTAAGAATGGGAGGATCTCTATGAGTCCAAGCTGTTTAGTGAGACCTGGTACCAAATTTAAAAAAAAAAAAAGGATCTGTGTTTTTCTCCATATCCATATGTTTTCTTAAAAATATGTTGTCTTCTACTTCAGCCAAATTTTCTACTCAGTGCCCTAGGTAATTATATAAATATACCATGAATATTAAAAAAATTTATTACAGTAAAAGATACATTGCCGGTGAGTCTCCTCAGCTTTGAACATACTTATCCCATCTTCCTTAATACTTTCTGAAGCAGTTCTAGAAGTTCTCTTTCATAAATGTCTTTATGAGGCATGATCAAAGATATGTGTAGTAGCTGGGAATGTAGCTCAGTGGCTTAAGTACCTGCTTGGCAAGCGCAAGGTCCTGAGTTTGATCCCCAGGACCAAAAAATAATAATAAAAGTATATATATATATTATATATACATATACACACATATATACATATATATATTAAATACTGCTGCTCAGCGCCATCCAAGCTAGCTCATAAAAACATTACAGTATGTCTGCATCCACCTTATTTATTGAATCTGGTGCCATGTAACTTTGTCTCTTCCCCAAAGTCAAAATGACCGTAAAAGGGAAACATTTGAATTTCGAGGCAGAACCAATAATGTAACCTAAAAACATAAAAGAGAATTTCCAGAGCTGCTTCAGAAAATGAAAAGGATAATGGAATAAGTATTTTTGAATCATGGGGAGTACGTTTTGAAGAAGATTAAGGCAGTGTGTTTTGTATTGCAATAATCTTTTAAAATGTAAACATTTACTGTATTTTATCATATCTCATAATTATAGAAATTGAATTTTTATCTAATATGAATTTGTTTGAATATGCCAGGCTCATATTTCAGTCTTGGAGATAAAAATAGTGTTGCACTAATTTGAAAGCATTGATAGGTAATTGAATTTACAAATTATATAGGGCAAATAGCTATTTTTATAGCTTCAAGCTCAGTTGGTTCTTTTATCAGTTTTAAAATATGTTGCTATAAAACATTTGGAAGCTGATGAGTTGGTTATATATCGTGTGAGCAGAGAAAGCCCTTTGTCTTAAATTTGTCATATTCATATTTCTTTTAAAAAATTGCCTTTGGTGCTTCCATTGATCATCTGATAATCTAAATAATTTCTGATGCCTTTTGCAGCATAAGATCATAATTTGCATTATCAAGTAGACATTTTAAAATATTTTATTTGAATCTGACTCCCTCACTCTCTTTCTAGGTATATAAAATACTAGTGAAGAAAACCCCAGAAGAAAGTTGGGTAGTTTTCAGAAGATACACCGACTTCTCTAGGCTCAATGACAAAGTAAGTACTTTGTTAAATTCCAATTAGGATTTTAAATTTTAAATTTTAAATCCTAATCCTGCCTTTGGAATGTGAGTTATTTACATATACCTTATACTTATTTTATATTTATATCTTTTCCATTTATTTGAATCAAGTCAAATCTCTGTTAGTTCATGAGAACATAAAATATTTCATTTCATCTTAATAACCTTAAGTCCTATTTTGACTTTCATTTTTATGCAAAAAAAATTGTTTTAGTGGAAATTGTGAAATCTTTAACATTCAGTTTGTGAAGTTATATATCTGTTGGTTTGAGAAAGACCTGTGTAAGATCACTTTATTGTAAAACCATGTGATTATGAAAGAGTAAACAACAACATTTAAACATATTACGTTAGTATTGCTGCCTGCCATTGTCACAAACCTGGTTATGTACAATGGCATCTGCTTGTCAGTGGTTCAGATGGGTTCAGCTTGCTTTTTATGATCAAGCAAGCTCAAATTCAAGCTTTTCACTGGGCTGAGCTCTTATCTGGAGTCTCTGGGGAAGAATCAGCTTCCAAGCCCTTTCAGGTTGTTGGCAGAATTTAGTTTCTTGAAGTTGTAGGACCGAGGGCCTTGTTGTTCAGCTGGCTGCCAGCCAGAGATAACTGTTAGCTCACATGCCTGCTATGCAGTGAAAGCCACCAGCAGTGACCATGTGTCCCCTTATGCTTCCAGTCCCTCTGGCTTCCACTTATGCCCCATGCCAGAATAAACACAGTAAATGGCCTGTGTGATAAGATTGGGCTCACCCAGATATCTCCCCATCTTAAGGCCACCTCATTAGTAGCCTTATAATTAAAGGTGCAAAATCCCTTTTGCAGAGTCACATAACAAAAGTTACATAAGCAGTAACAGGCAAAGGTTGTGAAACTGTCTACAAATCTTCCTGTTGCGTATAGGAAGCAGGTTAACAACAAGCCTCATTTTGTTAAGAACGCTTAAGCATAAGCCCAAAAATAAAAGCATGAAGATGACAAGAACAGGTTAAGTTACAGAAGACATATAAATAACTGGTATATCAGAAAACATTAAACATCGTAAGTACTGCAGGTAAAGAGAAATAAGAAACCATTTTCACCCAGTACTACCTGGTGCTGGAAATGCAGATCTTGCTAGAAGATACCCTTACATTTTGCATAGTTTTAACACAATAACCACATATATAGGTTTTATCCTACACAGGAATATTGGAAAGCTTTAGCTCTGAGTATATTTATTTCAGTGTTTTATACCTAGTGTTTTTGTTTCCTGTGTTGTGCTTTGTTTTTAATAATGAAAACTTAGTACTAACCTAAATTTCTAACAATGAGGAATTAAGTGCAGTTAGAAAATGCAGTAGAAAAGGAAGAGCAGAACCTCGCACAGATCTTAAGGGAAATCAGAGGAGACCGGTGGAGGGAACTTTAGCAAGTGGCCTGTGCTGCTTTTGAGAGGACAGGGCAGACGACCTCAGCATGTCCGGAAGCTGTTCTCCCACTTGGGCGGTGCGTAGTGCGGGAAGCTCGCTGGCCCTGTTCTCCTTTTGCTGCCTTCCCTTTGCTCTTTCCTCGGGCTACTTTAAACTTGTGAAATTAGTGTACTTAATGTGACTGCAAAGCTGTTGAGCTGCTGAAAAGTTTCTGCTTCTCTGAAAACTTTAGTGTATATAGAAAGTGTAAGACTTAGAATGCTAAGCTGTTTTATCTTTTATGTAAGTGTGATCCTGATGCCTTTTTGTACAGGTAAAGCATCCCTAACCCAAAAATGGAAAATTCACAATGCTCCCAAATCCTAAATTTTTTTTTAAATTTTATTTATTTGTGTGTGTGTGTGTGTCCAGCTCAGCCCACCAGGGGGTGGAGCTGGCTGGCATGTGGTGCTGGGGGATTGAACCACGGTCCCTGTGCTTTGCTAAGCTTGTTCTAAGTAGGTGCTTTAGACCAGTGAGCCATCTCACCAGCCCCCCAAATCCCAAATTTTTTGAGTGCGGATGTACCACCACAAGATTTCTGTGACAAGTCACAGTCAGAATGTGGGCACACTGAAAATATTATATGATGTTAGCTTTTATATGTGTATATATATACATATATGTGTACCATATATGAGACATAAATGAGTTTAAAGTAGTATATCTAATGTATCATTTACATTTTCTTTACTGTTCCTAAACCTTATATATTATTATTATATAATAAACCTTATATGAATTAAAAAGCTATATTTCTGAAATTATGTTGATTTTTTTAAATTATTAACAGGAAGATCAAGGCAATTTATGAAGTTCCCAGACATTTAAGTATAATGCTTAGCTTTCTTACATAATCATTCTTTTACTCATTCAGACTTATTTTGAAGTTACTCTTTCATGGCTTACTGTTTTTCTTGCAAGTTCTTACTTTTCCTTATCTCTCTAGATTGACCCTTATTACAAAAATGTTTGTTCTGCAAACAGATTGGGATTATGCAAGCATTTCAAAGAAAGGTGTTAATAAAAGTTTAAGTCTACTACATATTACTTTGCTCTCTAGTTTGGGCACTTAAAATGATTAGTAAAAGTCTATGTCAGTCTTCATAGTGTCACCCCTTATCCTATGAGGCTACATTGCAGAGTGCCCAGTGGATGCCTGATAGCAGATAGTGCCAGATCCTGTGCACATCTGGGGTAGAGTTCAATTTATAAATTATGCATGGTAAGAAAATAGCAATAATATGCTGTAATAAAAATTATATGAATGTGGTCTCTCTCAAAAAATCTTACTGTACTATATTCAACCTTCTTGTGGTGATAGGAGATGAAGCAGTGCCCTCCTAGATGAAGATGTAGCAAGGTGAGGGACACAGGCATTGCAGCACAGTGTAGGCCACTGGTGACTCGGCCCGCGAGTCAAGACGTGGGGTAATGACCTGGAAGAGGACCGGGGATGAACAAGACAGGGCAAGAGACACAAGAGACAGAGACAAGACAGGCTTTCTGATCAAGTCTTGTTTATTGAGGAAGTGAGCAGGGTCTAAATAGCTGTATAGTGGAAGCAGTTGGGTGGGACTAGTTGTGGATTGGTAGTGGAGGTCCAGGACCACAGGAAGATGCCGAGGCAAGCTGGGATTGGTGCTGCAGCACTCCTTGCCCAAATAAGGGAAAATATAACAGGAGTGTTCTATCGCCCCCCACACACTGGGACAGAGTCCTGCGCTACCATGACAGTCTGTCTAATAACAAGAGCACTCCTGAGTGACTGACCTGGCTGGTAGGGCATACAGTGTGCATGTGCTGAACAAAGGGGTAATTCACATCACACTGGAACAGGACAGAGTGAGATTTTATCATGCTCCTCAAAGCAGCACATAATTTAAAATTTATGAATTTTATTCATGGAATTCTCTATTTAATAGTTGGCACCACAGTTCGTGGAAACTAAAAGTCATGAGAGGTAAAAGCACGGATAAGGGGAAGCTGTAGTAGATTCCAAAGAGAACTCTACCTGCCAGTATACTTCACTTGCAAGGTCAGAAAATGTGTCACCTACCAACTGCACACAGTTGCTACAAATGAAGTCTTGGACTCTTACAGAATTGGTCATGAAATGTTTATGCAAGAAATGGGTTGAATTCAGCATTATGCTAGGACTTTGAGCTGATATAGAAACTCTGTAGATATCACCTTAATCTTACGGAGTTCACATTCTTCAGTTGTCATATTTGTGAAGAAAAAATAGCCACTGACGATACGAAAATTATTCAATATAGCTCAAGTAGTAGAGGAAGGCTTTCTATAGGATACTGATTTTCATTTTATTTTTTTCTGATACAGTTTCTGTGGGAGTTTTGTAAGCATCAGTGCTGAAAAAGCCAGAGCAGTTTTGAGCAGGTGCTGGAATGTGTAGGCCTTCTCTGAGTTGCAGGATAGGTTGAATGAGGCATTCATTACAGAAATTTGACAGGAAGTGGATTTTTCTATGAATTCAACTGTAGAACTCTGTATTTTCTACTTTTGGCTCAAAGCAGTTGATCAGAGTGAACATTTCTGTGTGATAACGTGTTTTCAGTTCAGGCAGCCAATCTGAGAGGGAGAGAGGAGCAGAATGTTACTCACTCGTTGTCAGTCAAGAGCAGCCAGCTCAGGGGTTCCTCATACTTAGTTCTCACATTGCAAAGTCCGTCGTTAGGCCGGCCGCAGTACACCATCTCCTGAGTTACTCCTTCCCCTAATATATGGTCCCTAAGTGGCATCCTTTTGCCTGTCACTGACCTTCTGGGGATTTTTATTTTTCCACTTCTTTCCTTTGCTGGATTTTGTTTCCTCTATCCCAAGTCTTTGTTTTCTTGAATTACTCAGTTTTATGACAACTCCCTTTTCTACCTGAGTAATCTTTAGAGGAAAAAATTAAGCATACATGTGGATATATATGACACGTAAATTTTAAGTTTCAAACTAATAAAGATTGATTTCATCACTCCCATTATTTTCTTTGGAGACATAAAATAACAAGACTCCAGTGCACAAAATATCTTCGTATTTTGAAATTAAGTCAGTTTTCAGTTATCCAAATTGCTTTCTAATTTTTGTCTCATATAATTTTTCTTTAGCTATTTATAGAAATAGAGAATGTTACATTTTACATTGTCTTGTTTTGCCACATGCATTTTCCCCTATAGCTGGTCCTCTTTTCATAGCTGTGATACTTAGTCTTATACTTCAGTGTAGAAATGGTGAATGTGCATGGACTTACCTCATTCAAAAAGTGTACTGAACATACACTTTTTTACTGCTTTTGTATAGCAACCACTATACTAGACATTGAGGATGCAACCAAAAATAAGGCATGATAGTGGTAGTGTTTTAAAATGGTTCTCAATCTTAGCTGCACTTCAGACTTCCCTAGAAAGCTTTCCAAAATCACAGTGGCCGAGGCCACACTCCAACTAATTGAATCCTAATCTGCAGAAGTAGGTCATAGTCAGTAATATCTTTCAAAGCTCCTCAGGTGATTACAGTGTGCAGCTGAGGTTTAGCATCATTGATCTTATAGGAGAATTCAAAATTCAATGAATATCATTTATGTAGTGATAAGCATCATTAAAATATATATTAATAAATTAGCATTGCATGGCAGAATGTCTTTTAAAAAAGCACAACAATGCCTTTAGTTCCCTGTGCTTTCCCAGAATCTTGCCTCTGCCCATCAGGGGGTGGAACCCATCCTCTCCATTTGAACCGAACTGAGCTTATGACTCTTGGCCCAATAGAGGACAATAGACTTGATGCCAGGGGACTTCCGAGGCTAGCTCATAGACAGGTACAGTTTTACCTTGGCTGGCTTTTGGAATGCTCGATTTTGGTGTCTAGCCTCTACTCTATGTATGTGAAATGTCCTGGCACATGAAAAGCCAGTATTAGGCTCGTGGCTGACAGCTAGCTGCAGAAACTTTCGGCCCACAGCCAGCATCGGCCACTTACACACGTGAGTGATCTTCAGATGATTCTTGCTCCCGGCTTTCAAGCCTTCTGGCTGCATCCTCAAAGCATAGATAGGTCCTCTTCCCTGTGCCTTGGATGAAGTGTTAGCACACAGCATCCAAGACTTGAATGAGTAGTCATTCCTCACTACTCAGTGTGGAGGTCATTTGTTACCCAGACACAGTACCTTGAGCAGAATGTACAAAAGGAGGCCTAACCTGGTTATACAGATCGGGAAGGTTTTTCCCTAAGTAAAGTTGAAGCCACGTGTGCATTATGAATCATAAACAAAAAATATGAGTTAAAGCTATAAACTTCATGTAAAACAACACTGAAGAAACTCTGCAGCCATGGAATGAGCAAAAATTTCTACCTTAGAAACATAGATGAATTAGCTAACATTAAAATATGAAGCCTATGCTCTGATTAGACTTGAAGATCAAACCTCAGTTTGGGAGCAAACATGTATATGTTTAATATATACATCTGACAAAGTAGTTGTGTGTGGACTCAGTAAAGTATTGAGTATTGTCACAACTAAGTAAAAAGACAAGGAGGTTGTTAAAAGATTTGAATGGGTAATTCACCAGAAACTATATACAAGTAGGCAGGTGAGAAAATATTCAGCATTGTTTTTCAATAGAAAAATGCAGATTATAGCCACAGTGAAATATTATCACACATCCACTGGAATGGCCACATTAAAGATGGCCAGTGCCAAGTTTTGAGAAGAGTACAGAACAGTTAAAACTTCTGTGTAATAGGCCTGGTAGAAATTTTTTTAAAAAGCATAAAAAGCTTAGCTGCATTTAATTACTTCAAGCTTATTTTGTAATCATGTAGTGAATGGAGATTTTATGAAATTGGCGTAATTGACTTAAACATTGCACTTTCCCTTTTCTTTTTCAGTTAAGAGAGATGTTTCCAGGCTTTCGATTAGCACTTCCACCAAAACGCTGGTTTAAAAATAACTACAATGCTGATTTCCTAGAAGATAGACAATTAGGACTACAAGCATTTCTTCAGAATTTAGTGGCTCACAAGGACATTGCTAAATGGTATGTAACAGATTGAAGCATCCCAACTACTGGCTTAAGCTAAGGAATAAGTCTAGGACTGTAGTTATTTAAGCACGTAACTCAGTGTAAGAATGTAATTACTTGTGTTCTCTAATAAAGTCTTTCGTAAGATTTTCTTAATTTCCTTCAATTAAGGATTTTATTTGGCATTTCATTTCTTTTAAAGCTTTTAAAAAGTCAGTAGAGTGAAAAATTCAGTGTACCATACACAAGCCATCTAACTATAAGTTTTATTTTCATATTTGCCATTTTTGCAATCATGTGGCAGAATGGCTGACATATTAGCCAGTTTTTACTTAACATATCACTGTATAATTTTGAGACTAACATCTTTTATAATTCGCCAAAGCAGTGCACAAATAGGAAAATTAAGAAGCTGGGTTGGTTGATGTAGGAAGTAAAAATGCCAGAAACAAGAGGTAGGAATAGGATCTAAGTGAAATTTTTGCTTCTTGATATATTTATAAGAAAAGTGCTTAATGACAATATCAGCTGAGTATCTCATTTAAGAACTTTTATCAGCTAAATTAGAACTATTTTGAAAAAAAAAAAAAGGCAAGAGCATGTCCAGTGCAGTAGCATATTATACATATCTCCGTAACTTGTCTGTCAGTTTTGCAATCAAAGATGGAATGCAAGTAAGAAAACCATTTTCCTTAGTCTTTCTATGCATGTCACCTTGAGTTATTTATAAAACACGTACTATACATAAAAATTTGTGCTTCTCAAAATTCCTACCTATCCCCCTTCATATTCTCGCTGCAGAGCTGCAAGCCATACCCTACTTTATACTTGAGATTCTTAAATTCGTCCCCTTGACACCTCTTTCCGGTAATTCAAAAGTTAGCTCATGCCTCAGACTTACAGGCATGGTCTCCAGACTGTTTTCTTCTTTTGAGCAGCAGCATCTATGTGAAACTTGCAGGACATCCTTGATCCAGCCCTTATTACCCTTGTTTCCTCCTTAACATTTGAGGTCACGCTCACCTTGACACTTTCCTAATCCATCACTAGACACCTACTGGTGTCTGCCTTAATTCCTGCAGAAGCATGCCCTTTGCTTTTCTTCATACATGCTTATTTCTGTCGCT